GTCTGGTGAGCTTGGGTTTCCATTTGTTGAACCAGCATGCAGGGCTGGCATTCCATATCATTGTCTGGAATCCTATACTGCTGGGATGTGATTAGTTACTTAAGGGTATGTAATTTGCAGTGTGTAACTCCCCTGACCACAAGGAAGCGAGTTCTAAACTTACCCCAATACACAATGAGAAACAGATCTTAGCCAGGCAGCAAGCAAACTCACAGGCTGCAGCCTTTTTCTTGCAACTGAAACCTGGGAAAAGTTGGGAAAAGCTGTCCATCATAATGAGCCAAAGCTTTTCTGAGAATATGAGGAAGAGCAGAATTGCACCACTAAAAAAAGCCAGTTAATTAGCGTAATTTTTATAAACATATTTCTTCAGATCTATCACGTGAAACAGAATTTGAAAAAGCATTGCCCAAAAAATAAAACAGATCTTTGGTGTATATTTTTCACCTGGATGGCCCTGCTGGAGAAGAGCAGTGGCAGAGGGGAGAACTGGCTTCCAAAACACGCATTGTATTTAGAAGCCAGGAGTAAGCTCTGTGAAAATGAATGAATGCATATGAAGGCAAATCACAGCCAGTTAGACTCCATAACAGGTGAAAAAAGTAGCATGGCATCTGAAATACTGAAATCTCAGCTACTGAAGTCTCAGCTATTGATATCTTAAAATATATTAATATATTTTATAAAATATATTAATAAATATAACCAGAGATGTAGATTATTTTGCCTGGGTATTAATTAAAGCAACGTTCAATTTACATTGATCCCTCAGAGGCTACAAAAGGGGTTTTGTAGCCTGCTAGTTTCCACAGCATCTTCATTTTTACAAATAAAAATTCAACTCTCTGAGAAATCAAGCCTAGTTTCCCTTGCATCTTCACCATGTTCAGTCTGGAAACATGCCCAACTCTTCACAATAGTAAACACAGCAGTTTATTGTTGTCAAAACTAAAATAAATACAAACTTTTATATTACCAGGGAAAAACTGTTCCTTTCTGAACTATGAAGAGTCTGTTATAGGATCCACTGAAATGAATGGAAATATTACTCATCACTTAAGTTTTAAACCAGATATAAAAGGCTGGCTTTTGTTTAGGAGAACGGGTGCTAAGGAATATTTGACCCACAGAAACTGGGACACATAACTGCCCTCTTCATTTGTCCCTAAAATGCCAAACAAAGCTCAGATGCAGGACAGATCTAGGGCCACATAATTTCCCAATTCTCATCTTTCAGGGAAAGCACCATGACACAAACCAACTTTCTTTTATTTGTTAGAATATAAAATACCCCAAAAAAGGGCATAAACCAGTTGGGGATTTGCCTTTGCTAAGCCCTGAGGAAACTGATACTTGGATCTGAGTTTCACACCATCAGCCTACCTCTAGTTTTTTTTTTTCTAAAGTAATATCCTATTTTAACAGATACTGTCTTAACCCTGAATACAGATGCACAGCTTTCTGCAACAGCAGATCTCACAGGAACACTGTTAAGAGCAACAGCAGAAATCTTGCAAGTTTTCACACGTTTGATTCTCACAGTCTGAAAGGCTGTCAAAGAAATGAGGATGTGCATCATGCCAATCCTAGTGGGTTTACAATTATTCACTCAAAAGGGTGAGTGATTTAGAGTGGGTAAATGTTACAGACAGTTGCACAAAATGCTTCGTGACCAAAAGACTCAACTACTGCAACATGTATGGGATGTAAAGCAAACACAACCCGAACTTCAGCACTGCACACTGCTACACTACACAGTTACTTTTTAACAAGGCAGCCACAGAGAGGGGAAAAAAAAATATTTCAATTATAGCTCTCTTGCAATTTTAAATAATCTTTCTTTTTGGAAAAATTTAGAAAAAATTAAATAGTTTAAACAGCGCACACACACACACACTTGCATTGTCACATAGGCCACTGTCGGTCCACAAGGCTCATTTGTGAGACCTACTAACCCTATCTTGGAAAGAAAAGGCTTTTAGGAAAGGAAATGCAGCCCAAACACTTACACTTCTCTCAGGTACAGAGGTTAGGAAAGGTAACAACGGGTCCCTGCTGTGCACGTACAGCCTGGCACTGGGCACCAAGGGGGGCTGCCACTGCTCCAGCTGGGCAGACCTGGTCCTCACACAGGCACCTCTAGACAGGACTGTCTTGCATTTGATACAAGCATGACAGACATGGATTTAATTCCTACCTGGTAAAAATAAATCTGCTTGCATTTCTGCTCTGGCTTCTTCAGAGAAGCACCGTTTTTTCAACCACTCAGCTTCATATTCGCTTGCGTGTTCATCAGGCCACGTGACGGAGACCTTTCAACACAAAGCAAAAGACAAGGTGAGAAGAAAAAAAATTCATTGAAAAACATGGCCTAGAACAACAAAAAAACCCTCTTAGAAATTGCAGAAATTGTAATATTTAGATCAGTAATATTACAATTAAGCATTCCCTGGAATGTGACAGCAAACAACTAATGAAAACATAACCTGAACATCATCCAAATTCTGACACCTTTTATAAATGCTCATTTTCACATGAATCCATGACCTAATTTGCTGGTTTGTGTGGACTGCTTTCACTGTGGGAGCTGCACTTAAAGGGAAGAAGGAAAGGGAAGAAACTGGCACATATCTCTGGGGAGAGCATTTCACCACAACTCAGAAGAGTGAAAATATCTTGCAAGACAGACAGCTCGTGAGAAAAGAAAAAGAACAAGACAGAGAGGCAAAAAAGAAATGCTAGGAGAGAAATCTCTCTCCTACTTTTGAGAAGTCTTTCCTCTTTTCAAATAAGTTTTTAAAAAGTGTTGTACTTCTTAAATCCTGAAAAAAACATGGAAAGAAAGGATATGGGTTTGCTTGTCATGAACTGAAAGAGCTCAGTCCAGCACAGACCCTCAGCTGAATTCTCAGGGCTGCTGAGTAGGTATCAATTCCCATTTCACATAATTCTGCCCTTTCACAGGATGGTAAATCACCACTATCAGTTTAGGATTAGTGCTGTGCTTTCATCAGTCCCTGAGCGGAACACACAACCCCTAATTTTCCTAATCGAATAATGAATTTACATTGTGTTAATTCTGGTAACAAACAATGACCTTGGGAGCCCAGAATTCCTCACCAGAGATCCTTATGCTGTGGCTGAGACTCACTCCTGCACAGTTTAGCCTCTGCAAACTGCCCCTGCAGTGAGGCTGCCCCAGGGCTGACTGCTGAATATTCAACACATTTAAAACATCTTTAAGTGTCAAATGAAGGAAACGAGTTTGTCAAAGGAGCCAGGTACTTCTTTTAATAAAAACATATAAAACCTAAATGATATATTAGTTTTTTATATGGCAGGAAATATTAAAAATCATAGGGAGGGCAATTCCTGTCTTCTCTTGCTCAATAATCTCCCCTTTTCCAGGAATAAATGTTAATGCAGACAGGTAGATACAGACACTAGGCCAATTCTGATTATTGGATGCAACTTCAGTTTGAGTGTTCATTCTAAGATGAAGACTTCTGCGCACTAGAAATTAGCTAATAAACTGGTATTTTTGCTATGGATTAAGTCACTGTCACTTTGCCATTTGTTTTTCTGATTTGCAAGCCATTTACTTAAGGAACAAAGAGGGAGAAAAAAAGTGTAGGTGTAATTAAATGTGCGGGAAACGCCTGAATTTTCCTTTCAATATCTGGTGATGAAGAAGCCTACAGCAGAATTTTCAAAAGCATTATTATATTGTAAAAGCTGAAGCCTGGGTTTCTGCAGGCTGAGAAGTTTCATATGAGGGTGGGGAGATGCGAGTTCCCCAAATTGCGGTTTTTCCTAAAAGCTTTGCAAATTACCTGACGAGGTCCGCAGATAAGCAAACTGTGATTAGAGTATAAGTTGGAGTTGCCTCTAATTCGGATTAATAAGCGTTCCTAGAATCATGGTTCGCTTCAAATACCTTTTTTCTATCTGCCAGAGCAACCTCCTTCACCACGATGTTCACGTCCAGGTCCTGGAAGAGCAGCCTGCGCGCTCCGGCGGAGGGCAGGAAGCAGAGGGGACACTGGCAGTTGTCCCTCAGCCAGACGCAGGGGTAGCGGCTCTCACTTCCATCCTCCCACTCCACACGGACCAAATGCCCCGCGTCCAAAGCTTCCACCTTCTGTATTCCTGGGCTCATGCTGAGCTGCTGGGCGGCGTGGAGCCCCGGCACGGCACCCTGGCAGCTCCCAGGGAGCAGGTTCCTGCCCTTCTGTGGCGGCAGGCGGAATGCTTGGCCTCCAGGGACTTTGGCCCTCGACAGGGCGTTAGCCACCGCCCTCCACATTTTGTTATGAAACAGGTTATACTCCTTTAAAGAGGCGTCTATGCAGCAGTGGGGAAAAACGTTGAGGAGAGATTTAATCCCTGAAACAGACAGCAGCTGATGGAAAAGCTCTGGGTGATGTCCATGTGTCAGAATGATGCCTGCTCAGCTGGTGCTAGGAAAAAAATCCAGGAGCCGTTAGCTGGGGTGAGATAAGAAAGGGTTTAATTGTGCCAAGGCAAGAGATGTTACACGACGCGCGCCGGGCTGTGCCCGAGATGTTACATTTATAACAATATCTGGTCAATCCTAAGTGTGTCCACCCTCTAACTTTTGGCCTGGTCCACCCCCTGGCCCACCTCCCGGAATTGGGTCGGGGGGCTTTTTGGGACCCCCTCGTCATCATCCTTCATCATCTTCGGGGTACAGAGAGCAGAGTCACCCAGTTCCTTGACTCTGTCCTGCGGTTTAGGCCAAGATACAAGTGTTCCTCAAATAAGACAGGCTTGCCTTGACTAAGAGACAAAACATCTTCTACTGAATATGGGAATAGGGTTGATATGGGGAGTGTGGAATGGGGTAAGAGGACTAAGGAATGTATAAACTAAGGGGTGCTAGGGGAGGAGGGAGAAAGGGGTGTTTCTAAAATCTACTTCTATTACCTATAAAACTTATAAGGTAGAAAAATAAGAAAACCATTGGGGTTTAAGGCATCAGAAAAACAAATTAAACTTCAGGGCTTGACATGCGTTGGTGCTCTCAGACCTGGGGGAGGAAGTTAACAAAGCACAGGAGAGAGGGATAGTGCTGAGAACTGGACACCAGGAATGCAGAATTTATATAGACTTCATGGACATTTTGCAGAAAACAAAGATAAAGGAAAAAACTAACAAAGACAACGCAGCAATTGTACTGAAACTCTCCCTATCTGGGAAAAAATAAATAGACTGGAAATGTGGACTAATTACCATGAAAAGTGAGAAATCACTAACAAATAGAAGACAGAATACTAAATAATAGGAGAACTATGTAACTTGTAGCCAATCAACACTTATTCCTTTGTTTGGTAAAACAATAGTTAAAAGTATAAATAGTTAAAAGTTTTGATAATCGGTGTACATGCTAAGTGGAGTGATCCCCCAGTGCTGAATAAAGTAACACTGACTTTCTAACCTAACAAACTGTTTGGAGAGCTTGTTTCCCAGTGTTTGGTGACAGGTTCTTTAATGAAATCATCAGAGGGAGAAAGCCATCATGGAGTCCCTAAAACACCCCGAAGAGCAGCTTCTTATGAGAGGAGTCAGGACAGCAAAAGGACAATATTAAGATGATTCTCCCCTCCCTTCCTACTTACCTAGACCTTCAGGGACATTCATCATCTGCTGCTTACAAAGGGTGTACTCAGACCCATCTATTCAAAAATCCTTTCAATGTGATCCATCACCTTGGCTGTCTTTTGTTTCTGCGGTCAGTTTAATATCTATCACACAAAGATATTAAAAAGACACCTTGAGATCAGTTCCACAAACCAAAAGCAGGAGCTACTACCAACCACGTTCAAAAGCTGAAGCTTTAAAGTACACACACCTTAATCCCAGCTGTGGGTACTAATGGAAAAGGAAAAGCTTTGTAATCATGACTTTAGCTACAACAACAGAGTTCTGTGAGAGTTCTTTTCTCCTTTCACAGCCACACTCCTTTCTATGGATTTACTCTTTTATTTAAAGCTAGCTGCATACTGTATTGCAGAAAGATGATGCCTCCAAATCTTAGAAACAGGAAAGTTCTGGTCTAATGTTCTTCTTATTCAGAAAAATTCAGGGGAGGACCCCCTGAATCAGTAAGTCATTACATATACATTTTAATAGACTTTACCAACTTCAAAAATTGCATATTTATTCAGTATCTTTTCCTTTTCTTTTTGTTCTTAAGATCACTGGGCAAAATATCGATGCTGCACCAGGACCAATCTGTCTTTGTGCATGGAAAACCTCCTGGGCTTCAGTGTTTTGATTCACAAAGGCCTTCTGGAGCTATTCGAACATTTTTTAATTTTTTCCTTTGCTACCATTTAGAATTAGGTTACACAGGGCCCTTGGGCCTCCTTTTGTTTTTATTTCATATGATTGAGTACAGCAAAGCAGAATACTGATTTTTCTTCTTTCTCATGTTTGAGTACAGTGGTCCCATTGGAACCCAGTAATTACCAACCTTCATTTGCGGTGCACCCATGCTAGTTTTGTGCATGCAGACCCAAACATCTTTTATCCAAAAATGGGTTCATATCCAGACTGAATGGATTCTTTTCTACACAAATACGTACAGAAATATACACATGTAAATGCATATGTACGTATTTCCACCATAATTGTAAAGCACTGCCCAAGTACTGCAATTTTCCCCTAACTGCAAAAATATTTACAGTGCAAGACTGGCTGCAGTGTCCTTCTGAGATTTCTTGAACAAAGTTTTATTACATATGATGGCAAAGTTTTGTTATGTTTTAGGGATTATTAAAAACAAAAAAAGGAATGACCATTTCAACATGCCATAAAATTTTTCTACATCTGTACTGGTTTCAAGATAGTTCTCTGTTCAAGGCAGTAGGTTACCTGATGGTAATGGGTCACAATGCCTGGACAATGGTTCATGGTGAAATTAAGCATTTGCTATTTAAATACACTGTAGTGTTTGCACTAGACTGCTGTTTCTGTCTTCACTGTAAAGCAATTCTTCGGGTTACTCCCCTACCAAGAGCAATCCTGTAACAATAAGGAGGCTGTTTGTTGTTTTCCTTGAGTTAGTCATATCATAGTGACACTGTTAAAACGAAAGCCCAGCTAACAGTGACTAAAAATATCTGCTCAAGCATGCCCTCTAGATGTTTTTCTTCTTAGATACACAAATTCAGTAGACCTGCAAGACTACTTTTTTTCCCCTAGACACAGCACCAGAGCAGAAGCTTCTCCTTTCAGGAGGATTTTTTCCACAGTGGGGTGGTAGGGGTATTCTGGGCCAAGTTCTGCACAGAGGCTGCCCAAACATGTCTTCACTGGGCTACTTCAATATGGCATTTCACAGCCACCAGGGACTTGTCACTACTTCTACTACAGTGCCCAGTAGTACTTCCCAGCTTGGACTCGTGTGCCAGATGAGTGCCAAGCACATTGAGTCCCCTCTTTCTCACCTGCACCATGCAAGACACAACATCTTGCCTCTCTGACTGTCCCAGGGATTGCCAGCCTCCAATGCTCCAAATCAGCCAGGAGGAAGAGGGTAACCAACAGCTCCTGCTGGAGTGACAAAGGCAGCCTGGTGCTGACACTCCTCTTTCCCAGAGCAACTGCTGACAGAACACGTAAAGCTACCACATAAAGCTAGGCCAACATATTCCTCAAGCAGCACCTGCAAGCCCCTCGCTACCACAGGAACAAGAAATCCCTGTCTGATGGCTCTGCCCATTTCCAGCATGCTGTAAGGAAAGAAAAGTTGCCCATGGACGGTGTGGAATTGTCTGGAAACTGTGTGTTATCCCTGATTTCTAATTAAGTGAATTTTCTTTACATTGGACGTGTATATGATATTATGGTGAGCATGCAAATAGCAGTGAAGAACTTGAACTGCTCCAGAAAATCCTGGAATTGCACGTTTTAAAGTAGTGCACAAAAGCTAAATTCTACCTTCCCACTCAACGACAAAGAAAACATTCTTTCCCCTTTTCTATATAAGTGTAAGTGTATGTGTATCTATAAATGGCATAACTGGGCAAAATGGCCATTTCCATTTCTGATCATTTGCACAGCTATAGCTACTGGGTTACACTGTTGTTTACCCAGAAACAATGTTAAGACAGAAAACTAAATGCCAGAAAAATACAACTATGTCTCAAAAAACCTGGAGTCCAAGACAGGTGAGTTGCTGGTAAAGGAAACCAAATCCAAATGCCTGGTCCTGATAGTGTCAGGCCACTGCAGAAAACTCATCTCCCATTCTAGAAGGCTATTAAAGGTGCTTATGGAATCAATCACAGAACATGGATCTCCTTATCACATACAGTACACTTTCTAAATTTGACAGTTGTTTAGAGGTTTGCCTTGTTTGGTTGTTTTTAGGTGTTTGGGTTTTTTTTCAATTTTACATAAAAGCTGGATGTTAATTGCAAATTAATTGAGACTAAATTATCAGCGAGAGTTCCAGGATTTTTTCTTCCCTTCCCTCCTTGACATTTTCAGTCAGACACGCATCCCTGTGCTGCTATTTTACACTTGAAATTGCATTCTGTACTAAACTGCAAGCAGAACTCACTGGTCCACCTAAAGTCAGCATTCTCATAACCACAGTCAAATTGAAGAGCAACTGAGAAGGCAAAGCAAATTCTCAGCATAACAGCTCTCTGCATTTCTTGTCTCTGAACTGCTGTTATCTGCATGAACCCAGAAGACAGGATATGTAACTGCTTCCAGTTATCAGATCTTAGATTTGCACAGTTTAAAACAAATACAACCAGTAGCTCCTATAAGTCACAGCATCTCATGTGAACATCATCCCAGTCTCATGGATTTTCTGTCCACATTGCCCCCAGCAACATGTCAAGGGTCAGCCTGAATGCTGACAGGCAATTATGATTCAAGGTGAACCCCATTACCTGGAGGCTACGCTTTCAGTTCTCCCCACCTTTCCAGCATCACCAAAGGTAATGCTCACTAATTTCTTTCTCAAAAATCTGTCCTCCCCTTCAGTTTCTTCAAACCTATCCCCACTAAACATCACCCAGATCCCCCTTTTTGCTGACCTCAGCTCAGCATTTTACCTGCAGAGCTACTTAAAATTTAATTCTGATTATCGGTACTTTAAGACAGCTGAGATACTCTGGCTAACATACGTTGTCCTCACACATCATTAAGATGCTGCAGAGAAATGAACAGTGTGATTTTGCATCATAACTCACAGCTATGCCTTCAAAACAGTTTGCTGCATCGGAAGCTGCTCGGTGGAGGATGTAAGATGTAACAGCACAGCGCTGCCAGCTGCACTGGCACCACGGACACTCACAAACTCCTGCAACTGTAGTGAAAGCTGCACTGGCCTCGGCTTGAAACTGAGGTTTCATACCTTGCAAGTACCGCCCGAGTCAAAAGTCGGTGCAAACTTCAGAGAAAGAATAACCCCGGCCTAAATACTGCACGTGGACCGCTGCAGCACAGTCTCCGCGGGCAAACACTCGCCTGGCGCTGCTGCCTCGCAAGCGAAGCAGCGAATATGCGCCGCAAAGGCAGAAAGCCCTGCGCGCCCGCATTCCCTCGGGGCTGCACAGCCCTGCGTGCGAAGGCCCGGGGGAGACACACTGCCTGAGGGGTGTCCCTGAAGGGTGTCCCTGTCTGCCGCCCCGCTCCAGCCTCTCTGATGAGCGCAGCGAGGGCAGGCGGCGAGGGCGATCACCAGCGCAGGCGGCGGCCGCGGGCAGGGCCTCCCTCACACGCTTCCCGCGGCCCCCGCGCCCACGGCCGGGGCTGGGCGAGCCCTCACGGCCCGATGCGCCCGCCCCGACCCCGCGGCCGCATTCCTGGTCCTGCTCCAGCTCCCGATCCGCCCCCCCCTCACCTGCCCGGGCGCCCGGCGGCCCCCGCGGCGGGTCGGGACGCGGCCCCACCGAGCTCGGCAGGCCCGGCCCCGGGGAGGACCCGCCGCGCAAGGCGGGCCGGCTGCGGCGGAGGGGGCGCGGCGCTCCCCGGGGAGTTTGGTCCCTTTCGAGTTAAAGGGGATGTGTGTCTTTCATGGGTTATTTATCCCCTGAGGAACACGATGTTATCCCTGTTACCACTGCACTGACCCTTGCGTGTAACAACACTTCGGGCCCCAGTGGAGCCTGAGCAACTCGGGGTTTTAAATATCGTAACCTACAGTAAACATCACCAAACAGAGCTGGCCTTTGTGAGCGAGACTGAGCGAGACCATGGTCAAACAGAGCCTGTGCTGTGGCACAAAACAGCCCTGCTCTTTCAGATGGGGCCACCCTTGTCTGCACCCTCTGAGATAAGGGGGCAGATTTGTGGGAGACCACAGGACCAGGGCAGGGATCGTTCCCCACGAACTTGGCACTGGTGAGGCCACACCTTGAATCCCGTGTTCAGTTTTGGGCCCCTCACAATAAGAAAGATAATGAGGTGCTGAAGCAAGTCCAGAGAAGGGAAATGGAGCTGGTGGAGGGTCTGGAGCACAAGTCTGATGAGGGGCGGCTGAGGGAGATGGGGGTGTTCAGCCTGGAGGAGGCTCAAGGGAGACCATATCACTCTGAAAGAAGGTTGTAGTCAGGTGGGCGTCAGTCCCTTCTCCCATGTAATAAGCAATAGGGCAAGAGAAAATGGCCCCATATTGTGCCAGGGGAGGTCTAGATTGGATATTGGGAAAAATTTTTTCCGCAAAAGGGTTGTCAAGCATTGGAACGGGCTGCTCATGGAACTGGTGGAATCACCATCCCTGGAGGTATTTAAAAGCCATGTGGGTGCAGCACTTAGGGACGTGGGTTAGTGGTGTGCTCAGCAGTGCTGGGTTAACAGCCAACTCGATGATCTTAGGGGTCTTTTCAAACCTAAGCGACTCTATGACTCTGTGAGGTGATTTTACTGACAAACAAGCCTTGTGAGCAGTAAGCTTCAGGGAAATGAACTTTCTGGGAACAAATGTAAAACCAGCATTAATACACTCTCATTGTTTAGTGCCCCATACCTTCTCACTGGTAACCATGCTAATGCTGCATTTATTTGATCAGTGTGTTCCTTTTGGTTGAAGGGAAGGAGGTTCTGACAGAGAGAAATACAACTTGTGTAGCTGAAGGCAATGGCAGAATGTAGCACATGCCAGTTTTCAGCTGAAGCAGCTCATGTTGGTCTTCATGTTTTCAGCTTTTATTGCACTGGAATCCCCATCTTCTTTGGTATACATTAACTGGTGGCATGAGTGACAAGAAAAGGAAGAGCTGAATTAAAACGAAAAGGAAAAACTTTATTTCCCTCCAGATAGAAAGCTTTTCCCCAGCTGTACAAGAGGTACCTGCTCCATGGGACACTCAGTGGCCGTACTGCAGTCTGCAAAGCACCCAGAAAAGACCTGGTGCCTCAGTGTAACCAATAAAGGGAAAACCTTAACGTAAATGTTGCCTGGGCAGCATTTTTCACAGACAGTAAAGCGTTCACATAGATGAAAAGCTGGCGAGTTGGGTGGAAGCAGGTACGTGCAGCAGTGAAAATACTCAAATGGCTGTTTAGATACATTTTGGCACTTTAAAAGGGGCTCAGATCCAGTCTGTGACTTATGGGAAATGAAGTATTTTTGTTGGTAGTTATCATTTAACATCTTCAATAAAAAACAATCTTCACGTGCCAAGGCAGTGCTGCAATGCATGGAGTTAGATGCGTTACTTTTAAGGAAAGAATAATAGGAATTATTTGCTTTTAAATTAGGTCCTAAATCCATTTCTTTCAGCTTTCTTTCATATTCTTGTTCTTTTCCCATCTTCACAATGGAATACACATAGTTTTGGTTGTTTCCCCATTGAAATACATTCTTTCAAACCAGGAGCTTGAAAATTCTAAATAATTTTCAAAGTTTGTTAGACTGGATTTCTGCAGATAATTAGGCTCCTTTCATATATACTGTTTACAAATGGCTTTATTTATTTATTCCAGTTTAGTTAATCTTTATTATCTTTATCTAAAGATTACAATATTTACCTGCAGATATTTTATATGGAGCACATACCTTATTCCTTGTGTCAATCTCTTCCTTGTGTCAAACTAGTCTGCAAGTAGTAGCTCCTAGCTAGAAAAGGGCAGTGTGAACATTTTGCCTATGCTGAATGTAGATTATTGCTTGAGAATCCACATTTACCTTCCTGACTCTTATGCTGTTGACTTTGCAACATATTACCTTAACACTAGATTTCTCAATTATTTTTACTTCTTTGTTTTCTTTTAGAACCAGTGCACACCCTATTAAGTCCATACTGGCTGAAAGAAAATACTTCATATTGTATACATTTATAATTTTTTTGTTTTATTAATGAAATGGAGAATCAAATAGATCAATTTGTTTAAAGGGGGGAGAAACAAATCAAGTTGTGTCTCAATAATACAATTACAGGTTTTTAATGAGTAAAATCTGTTATTAACATAAACCATGTATCTAAGCATACATATAAATCCTGACCAGGCTGTAAAAAAAAAAAAAAAAAAAGAACCAGAAGTCATTTTGTTTGGACCTTAGGAAAAAAAAGCTGTACATACACCAAGAATAGAGATTTTTTTTTTCCAAGCCAAAAGGGGAACCTATTGAGGTATTATAACCTTAATAAGGGTGTGGGAATTAAAATACTCCTAAGCCTCATTCACTAACAGGAACACTCCAAGGCATTTGCAAGGCTGGCTCTCTACTTTTATAAACAGTGTTACATAATATAGAAGTGGAAAAGTCTCTTATCTGAGTGGAAATATGAACCAAACTGCCTTCAAGGTAACATAAAATTCAGTAAAATCTGAATCATTAGTGTTGTGCTTGTATTTTTTGTGTTTCTGGAAAAGAAAGAATTTTAAAAGAGGCCTATCAGAAGCACTATATAATTTTACAGTACATTTATGTGCCGTTTTACTGTCACAACATCATTTTGCTGAATCTTGTAGTGTGAGAACAGTACACTGATTCTCTTTGGGCTTTACTCTGTTGCTGTCATTCATAGAGGGATGTACCACGGGAGTTATGCCACAGGTTTTCTGTGTGACTACAAGTCTTTGCAGTAAGTTACTGCCACATAAATATCATCAATTAGGAGGTGGAGATAATTGCAAAATTTAAAGTCACACGCTAAGATGCAAAGAGCAAACATCCTTAGGAAGCAAACTCTGTCCAATAAATTTGCTACCTTGAGATGACAGTAAAAGGCCACAGACTAGACCAGTATTCCCAGTGGAGTCTGACATAACCAACAATAAAGGTATTTTCCTGGAGCTCTGCACACGTGCTGAGGGAGACAAAGGCAGCAACTTAGAGCAGGCCTGAGATGTATGTGCAGTGGGGAAGACTGAAATGTAGCTTAGAAATGTAGAGGAATTAATATTAAACTCAGTGCAGTGTGCAAATAAATAAATGCCACACAGCCTGCACATGGTTCCAGAATCAGACACAATGGAAGGGTGATTAGGATAGGAGCTATAAAATCAATTGCCACAGAAATATAAGTGTTAGAAATTAAAACTGGACCTGGTTGCAAATTAGCTTCTAGGGTAAATGAGCACAGCATGAACTTCAGTCCATTCTTGATGTACATGGTCAGATTAATTCTTCTGCACTTACATAAAGAAAAAAACAATCTGAGTGAGGTTTTGCATTAAATCTTTTTTCTAGGATAACTCTTCTGAAATTAGAGAATATGCAAGACATAATTTAAAATCACAAATCTAATAGCATCCTGACTTGTGTGCTGATCTAATAACGAGTTAGCTTGCATTTTGTTGTGCCTCTGTTAGAATCCAGAGTTAAAAAAGTGCATTCCTTTGTAAGAAAATATCAACACATAAAACCAAGTTGTAACACATTTAACATATACCTTCAAACTGATCTGAATTTTAATGAAAATCTCAATAAATTAGCAACAAAATCATATTAATAAAAAAAGGACAAAGCTTGCTATTAAGAAGAGTTGACTGCTCTTGATTAACCAAGAAGCTGTCAGCACAGAAAGTGTATGGGAAAGAATTCTTTATCATTACCCAGGAAAAGGCACAACAAACTTCAGTAAAAAACCTGAGAACCTCAGACTACAAATCCACTGAATTAATTGTCTCAGACCAAAACCTAGCACTAAACGGAAAATCATCGTCACATTATTTTTGAGAAGAGATGGCAAGTAGAGAGGAAAAAAAAAAAAGCATCTTGCAGTTTGGAGTGTCTGTATTAATTCTCTATTATTTACACTAAAACTACTCTATGTTGTCCAAGCAAAATGTTTGCAGAGTGGAAAAAGTGTGGAAGGTGTGATGTGACTACGTAGCTTTTTTAGTCATCCTGCACTTGACAATACCTATGAATCTCTCCCTTTGCCAACCTTCTCCAATGACTTTTTTTCCCCCCAACGAAAGTTCAGACACAAACAATGACTACTACACAGACAGTTTCTAAGCACTTAAAAGAGGTGTACATATAGCCCAAGGAAGGTTGCTGTCTGAGAAAATACGATACCCTTGGCATTGTCTTCCCTTTACGAAAGAATGTTAATGGCAGGTTGGAGACTGCCAGCGATACCTCCCCAAGGTAAGGCAGTTTTCAAGGAGGAATGGCTCTACAAAGCCATGAATTACTCTGTCCAAGCCACATCATTAAAAAATGTAATGATTATGGAGACCATATGTTTTTCTTGTTACAGAAATAGTCATTAAATTCTGCCTTTTCCAGTCAGAAACTGGTCTTGTAGGCAGGATGACAACTTTATGAAGAAAATAAAATAAGCACAGTTATAGTCTTTTTATACACATATATTCTAATAAAAGCCTTTTTAAAAAGCACATAGGATGTTCAGGTTTTTTGGCAGTTTCACATACTATAAGAATGAAATACAGACCCACAAATTGTTCAATTTTTCACTAACGGCTCACCAAAAAAAAAAAAAAATCTAAGTAATAAAAAACAAATTCCCCAGTGGGCTGTAAGTAAAAATACATTTTAAAAGACAGAAAAATGCCAGATTTTGAACATACAGGATTACTTCAGGAATAGTGGCTGTGAAATGCACTTCACTCAACAACACTTCAGTGTTAGCTGAAAACCTCTTTACTAAACACAAAATTGGTATTGGAGAAACACGAGCAAGAAGCTGTTAAAGCAACATCTAAATGAACAGCCACACCAACAGCAAGAGATGCACCCAATAGAATTTCTCCACAAAATACCCATTTTCTAGACAAGGTTATAACCAGAGCCCTCAGTAGCTCACGAGGTTGTTTCTAGTGACTAGGGCAGGTGTGGTTTTTTGCTTCTGAGGTTCAAATCTTGGCAATCTGCAATTGAGCACAACAACCTGTAGGAGCAACAACAGTTTCAGACAATTCATACACCCAGCTTGTCACACACACAGGGTATTTTAGAAACACCATGTTTTTGAAAGCTTCACTCGACTTCTCTTTCTGAGGATGGTCCTGGGTAGGTCAACCTGTGAAACTGAAGTTGCAATTTAGATATCCGGTTTGCAGACACCCCCCTAAATTCCCAGCCATTGACTTGGCACAAGGCAAGCACACGGTTCTTTCTCAAGCTTCTGTGAATGATTTTGCACACACTCTGAGCTTCTCCTCTCCTGTGTGCATCAGTAGATGTGAGAATGTCCACATCAGAGCACTGCCCTCAAAAGAAAGTTGCCTGGAGAGGTGTGGAGGTGTGTCCCTTAAGGCCTTGCTTTGACACTAATCACAGAATGGTTTGGGTTGGAAGGGACCTTAAAGATTATCTTGTTCCAAACCCTCTGCCATGGACACCACTAGATCAGGTTGCTCCAGGCCCCATCCAACTTGGCCTTGAACACTTCCAGGGATGGGGCATCCACAACTTTTCTGGGCAACCTGTTCCTCTCCATGACTTAAATCACTGGTTGAGTGGCAAAATAACTTAACTCTTAAGTAAGCTCTCTCTGACTGTTCCAGCTGCAGAACTTTTATTTCCCAGAAAACAGAGTCTTTTGCTCTTCAGTATCATCAACTCTTTAATAAATTTGAAAGCAATACGTATTTCGAAAATCTTGAGAAAACCACAAAAAATCCAAAGGCAGCTTAATTTTAGTTCACACTACTGCATTCCGAAAAACAAACAAACAAAAAAGAGCCTAATATGAATGCAATATTTTAACACAACACAAGAACCTAATGGGTCAAAATAGCTGCAACAATCATCCTTTAAAAGCTCTCTGCTTAAAAATCCTTACCAAATTTTCAATGATAAAAAGGCCTTTACCTCTTGAAATTGGCTGTATAAACTCAGAGTCTTCATTTCTTCCAATTAGATAAGTTTTATCAGGTAAAAAAGCAGAAGCAGAACATTTACAAGATTGCAAAGAGGATTACAATATAGTTTTCATAGTTTTTAAAGAACAAATTTGAATTTAAAACTTAAAACTGCTGCATATCACTAAGCACTCAGTTCTTGTAGGCACTGCAGCTCTACAAAAACCATTTAATGTATCAGCTCTGACTCAAAAATTATATTTTTAATGTATACATTTGCTTAGACCAGCTAAAATTATGTAAATCAAATTCTAGTAGATTTAAATGTCCTAAAAGATTTTTGTACTGGCTTGATTGAATCCATGTAAGATCAACTATTTCTACCAAATGTGTGAACTCATGCATAGACCAGGCTCAGATATCTTAATTTTATTTTTGAAAGAAACATTTAAAGCCTCTCATAATCAATGCTACTGAAATAAAATCAGCATTCTGCCATATTTCAAATATAAAAACGATTATATTTTACTGAAACATAAACCAGTGTCAGAAATCCATGTTTATCATATGAAACATTAGGGTGGCACAAATGGAACTGCATGACATCCTTCAGCACTCTGGTCCCAGGTGACTTATGCACTGCTGAGTAACTTACCCACTGGATGGTCTGCAGACCAAAGTGTAACTGAACAGGGTTAACAAGAACAGACCTCAAAAATACACCAAACAGCTTCTCTTCCAGTGCCATGAGATTGCTAGGTGCTTAAAAAGGCTTACAAATTAAAAAAAAAAAAAAAAATCTGCTCTACAAGCCCTTCTGTATAATTGCTTTTAAGGAAACTTGCTTACCTCTTGAGTCTGTAAACTTTTGTTTTATTTGTTTTTACTAAAAAAGCAAGTTATTTCACTTGGCAGGAGCTACAAATTTGCAATTTTTTTTCTGAACAGACATTTCAACAGCATGTTTTAAATTAAGAGCGTCTCAAGGAAATCAGTAAAAGAACAAAAATGTACTTTAACATTGTTTTCAAATATTTATTAAAACAACATACGAACGTTTTTCATCCAAATAGCGATTCTGCCTGCAGTATCTGTAACGTAATAGCCACATTACCCCTAGTTGTCAGTTAAATAGCAATGAGTCTACAAACCCAAACAATCCTCCCCCTCCTTCCCACTAGGCACTTTTGCTATTGTCTAGGACCACAAATAGCTTTATTAATAGCTTAGCTAGCAAAAGTACAAAGTCACCAAAAAGAAATATCACTGTGCTAGCACAGACAAAACCTTTTTGTCTGCTCTAGAAGCATGCTCCTGGCTCTCAAATTTGGGATCAAAAACTCCAATCGCCACTAGGGTTCATTCCTTTTACTATAAAAATCTCCGTCAGCATTCTCAGGATCTGACATAAACCTTTTTGGCTGGTTCTTGGGGTTATGATAGCTTAGAGTCACAGATAAGCAAGCCTGGAAGAGTACAAATCCTGCCAGAATAACTCCCATCTCTCCAAACACAAATGAAAAATCACAGCTTTAAGTTATGTAGGAGAACAACGTTTAACGTGCATAGAATACGAACCAATACAAAAGGTTAACAAAGTTAACAGAGGGCCAGAGGTTTCACTCTGAAGGAGTAACAACAAATGCAATTTAAGTATTTGCTACACACGAGGCTGGAAGGGGCTGCCGAGCACCACACTGCATCCACGCTTGTGGCAGATGAGCCACAGCAGAACAGGTGATATATAAACAAACAACAGGGAATCAGAGACGAGAACGCTTACTTCACTTTGGAACCGAAGATGAATCATGCAACAGAGGGCAGGTTTTTTTGAACACGGGGTATCAACTTAAACATACCTCGAACCTCCTGGTTTATAGAATCGTGCTATTTGTTTAGAAAGTCAAACAGAATAAATAAAGTTTTTTTCCACGAAGAAGGGTGTATTTTGGTGGAGTCACCATCCCTGGAAGTGTTAAAAAAATTTGCAGATCTGGCACTTCGCGACATGTTTTAGCGGGCATGGTGGCGTTCATTCGAAGGCTGGACTTGGTGATCCTGGGAGGTCTCTCCCAACCTAAGATCTGTGCAAGGAGGTGCTCCTTCCAGGCAGACGCCGGGGCTGTGCCTTCCGGGGGGGCTGGCGGCAGGGCTGGGGGTCCCGTCTGAAGGCGGCGGGGGTCCGGGTTCGGCCGGGGCGGGGCAGGGGCCGCTCTCAGGCGCGGAGATAGTCGTTCTTGAGGCGGCTGAGGCGGGCGCCGTGGCTGCGGACGGTGAGGGCCAGCAGGTCGTGCTTGTCGCGCAGCCCGCTGGAGATGTGGCGGGTCTCTCGCAGCAGGGCGCGGGCGTGCAGCAGCAGCCCCAGGAAGCTGTCGCCCAGGCGGGACTCCTCCCGGCCGCCCTGCTCCTGCCCCTGGCGGAACTTGCCCTCCAGCTCGCTCAGCGAGCGGTCCGAGCTGGAGTACGCGTCGCTGATCTGCGCGGACTCCCGGCGCAGGTAGGCGCCGTAGCTCTCCTCCCCGTCCAGGTCGTAGGAGATGCTCCTGCCGATGCCCTCCAGCACCCGGCCCGCGTCCTCCACCTGCCGGCCCAGCACCGTGAGCTCCTCCCGCAGGCTGAGCCCGCCGCCCGGCGCCGCCGCCGCCCCGCACCGCCGCTGCTCGCTCACCCGGAACAGCAGCTGGCACCGCTCGGGGTCGTCGTTCTCCTCGTAGTCCCCGTCGGGGACGAAGTAGTGGTGCAGGCTCCCGTTGGACATCTCGGGGTACAGCGGCCCCTCGAAGTACCCGCGGCAGAGGCTGCAGAGCCAGAGCAGCCCCAGCAGGCGCAGGGGGCCCGGCATGCTGCGGCCGACGAGCAGCCTAGGGCCGCCCGCGCCCCATGGGTGTCCCCGCCGCCGCCGCCGCCGCCGCCGCCGCTGCCGTCCCCGCCTCCGCCGCGGGCCGCCCGGGCCGAGGGAGGGCTGGCGGCGCTCTGGGCCCGGCTCCGCCGCGCCGCGTTTAAAAGCGGGGCAGCCCGCCCAGGGGGAAGCGGCCCCCGGGCAGGGCAGGGCCGGGCCGGGCCGCCCCCCGCCCCCGGCAGTGCCCCCCGCCCCCGGCAGTGCCCCCCGCATCGCCCCCGCGGGGGGGTCCGGCGCGGGGAGGGAGGGAGGGAGGCGCGTACGACTTTCTCCTCTTTAAATAAAGAAGTCCGCTAAACCCCACATTGCTCAGCTCTGCTCATTTTCCCCGTCAGAAATGACTGCTTTGCTAGCAGCCCGGTCTGCACAGCAGCTCGGACACAGTGTTCGGGGCGGAGGGGCTTGACCAAGTTGCTCAGGCCGCGTAGTTTGTCGCTGGTTGAAAACTCAGGAGGGAAAAAGATGCGGCATCGAGTATAAAGTGTAAAACAATAAACCTTGATAGGGAAGATGGGGAAATGAAATGTAAAATCTGGTCTTAAACAAAATGTCAGATGTATTTGAGGAAACCCCCAATACAGTGCATCCAATGGAGCTGACTTTGTAAAATTTGAAGTGTTTCTCTTTCATGAAAAAATATTTTGCGTGAGTCTAGTAGTTGGATTGTGGCAGGGTCGAACCGTGTGCATGTAACTTGTAGAAATCTCTCTTTATTACTTTTGATTTGTTAAATCAAAGGTGAGATCACAAAAAGAAAGGGTCTGTAAAGTCACCAACTCCTTTCACATCATCTTTCCTCTTCCATGGAAAAAATCACCATCTAGCAGAGATTATACCAAATCCTGTAGTCATCCAGAGTAAAACTTCCTGAATTGCTTTAAAGTAGGCTCTCCAAGCCCTGGAGTCAGTTGAGACCACCCATACATACACCTCCATACATACATACATGAGCAATGTTTGCAGAGTCCAGGCAACTTCCTGTTGACAATCCAGGCCAGACAAGGTATCATAACAGAAACACTCCACTCATTTGGAAACATTTTAAATTTGTAATTAAGTTCACAAAACACTCATACAAAAAGGTAGAATTGGGGTAAGCTATTGTGCTTCAGCTTTCTATAAAACTTTAAAAGCTTGTTCAACTGAGGCTGTTTGATATTTGTCTGTGTTTGCCAACACAATTGTTATGAAACAATTTTATTCGCGGGATGCTCTTGTTTCACCTAATATTTTATTTGGGTACCAGTTCTTTGTCAACCATAGTACATTACCTGCATCAGTTTCTACCCAGGCTGGTATTACTGCCAGTCAGCTGGTTTGCCTGGTACTTGGTTTGTGGTGGACTCCACTTTTGAGGTCTCTTCATGGAAGCGCTGCACTGTAAATCACCCAGCTATAGCTTTGTCAGCGTGGTTACACTTTCCTCAGTGCCACAGAGGGTAAAAAAAACAGCCTTAGTAAATATTTTGTCTCTTCGTACATTTAGAGATTAAGAGGTGTCTGCTGCTCCCTGCTGCAGCCGCTGACTCCCTGCCACTGCTGTTTTCAATCCAACATGTATTATCTGAGTTTAATTTAAATTTTATATCCAAATAGCGTCTCCCCAAGTAACCCACTTGGAATGTCTGCTTTTGAAGACAGTCTGCAATCCAGGATCTGCAATCTTGGTAACTCAGTGGGCATAGCTTTGGTAAAAACTGGAACTTGCTGAAAGGTACACAACAGCCTGATCCAAGGCAATGCCTACTATGGGTCAGGATTAAACATAACAAAATTCTAATTTTTAACCATAAAGCATGAAACAATGTAGGCTTAGAACAAGATTGTGCATGAGTAGCCATTATTCATTCCAAAATCACATCTGAAAGACAAAAGTCTTAAGACTGCAATGAGATAATCTAATATGAATACCCTTAAACTCACCATAAAACCATGTGCATACAAATAAAAATCAGATTATTTTTTTAATGAAAGATGCACACTGAAAGGAACCATTACCTTTATCCATCAAGACTTGGGTTGAAGGGTCAGACATTTTCATCACAGTTAAATGCAGCAGGAACAGAACACCACAGCATAGGTTGTAGTAACAATATAAAAGTCAGTGTCAATGTAGAGTTTCCTAAAGTGATTTCTGGCATTATCTGGAAGTGCAGAGGGCAATAAAACTGAAGGAAGACAGAAGGGAATTTCTCAGGAATACCAGAAACCTGGGGTGCAGAGAACCAGCGAGGAGAGCAAGCAATTTTTCTGCTGAATGTTGCATTTTCTGCTGGGAATCCATAGGGGTAGTTGCCTGAGATCAGATATCTGGGGAGCTTTTGGGACACATCCAAGAAGCAGCTGTTCCTTGTGGCGTGCTCCCATGAAGGCCCTCATTGAAATCCTGGCATTGTCAAAAGACCCATTGATTTCAGCCTGACAGGATTTTATCCTCCACGCCTGCTTAAGCGTTTAAAATTTCCCTCTGTATAAATGAGGAAAAAGTACTGGAAGCAAAAATAAAGCAGCATACTGATATTGTCATCTTACAAACACTTGGCATGACAGACTCTGCTGTGGTAAAGCCATTGTTTTTCTGCTGAACAGCAGTAGTTTATAGTACTATAAAGAACTGCAGAATTTACTCTGCATACCCTCTTACGCCACGGCACCAAAATCACCAAAATCAGCCAAGAAAATGCCTATAAACTGATGGCAAATGCGCAGCTCAGCACTGGATTTCAGATGACACTTGCATACATCTTCCTCTGTAAGCCATGCTTTATCTTTGGGTTTTGGCTCACACATACTTGCTCTTTCTGCTGCAGATCATGGCAAACTTTGCAGCATCATGTTTCAAGTGTAAATGGCCATTAATTTGGAGAACAGATATGTGTTATTTGGTCCTAAAGGCCCCACAGGTTTTAAGGTATAAATGTTCTCTGACTACTGGCTTCTGTTTTCCTGCTATGAACTTTCACATAAAGATACCTTGTTTAAACATGAGACTAAAACGTATGTGTGTGTGATTTCTAATCCTAGGGCGCAGTGCTAAACGCTCAAATGGCATCAAGTGAGGTGGGCATGAAATAGTCCATGAAAAAGTAATGCCATTTTTTGTTGGAAAATTGCCATAAGAACATACCAGAAACTCTGCAGAATAAAAAGAGATTTGGGGAATGAAACCTTTATAACACACTTAATACTTATTCAGTATAACTTTGCAATACAACAGAGATTCAGAATTATTATGCTGAAGCACAAACCCAGGCTTCAGCATACTCATGTCAGAAATGCTGAATGTTCCAAGACCATCATGCTTGTCTGGGGTTACACTGAAATTTTTAATTTATCAGAAAGGCGTATTTAATTCAGAATTGAAACAGCTGACCAACAGCTGTTGGTTCTCAAATGCAGATTTGTAGAGGAAACAACTTTATTGTTAGCTTGTTTAATCTGACTGATTCTGATAACCCTTTTCTTCTTCACAGGCTTCAGGCTGAAACCACAACTGTGTCTGGGCACAGTCCCCTGAGTCCATTAGTACTGGCCCTTCTTGGACAAGCAATACAGAAAACCAAATTAAAAAAACCCCCACAAGTAGCTGTAGGAAAGACTGAGTATGAGGCTGAATGTGAATACAACTAATGGAAAGGGTCTGCCAGGCTTGTTGTCTCGGAAGAGTATGCAATTAATATTGAACCTACTTCAACTTTAGCCAACACCAAAACGAGCTCAGCCTTTGCAGAAAAATACAAAAAATTATTTTACCACAGCCCATCTCTGTAGTGGATGCTGGTTTACTTTATGGAAATAGAATTTCCTTAAATCAAAACATTGAGGATATGCTCCGGTTATTTTTGAAAAGAGAAGTGGTGCATCTGGATGCTTCCTAAGAATGGAAAAAGAGAGATGAAGCAGAATGAATATTTACTGGTATTTTACTGGTGCAGTTTCTGTCTGTTGATGAAAAAACCTCAAACCCCAAAAGGGATATTGCTAGCATTTCTTCAGCAAGGTTCCTGAAGTGGAAATAATAACACTTCCTCGGTGGAAATGAAAACATTTAAAAAAACCATCATCACTGGCCAACACATAGAGAAGCTTTCCCACTACTGTAAATGTGGTTTGTTACAGAGACAGTATGTTATGCTTTTAACATGTTGATTTGATTTTCAGTCCTTTCTGTGTTGTTTTTAATGCTCTACGTGAACATGAAAAGGCTGCATATGAAAACATGTATTTTGAAGTTGTTACAGAAACATAGTTCACTAATTATTCCTGATAATGCATTCTCTTTCCCTTTAACCTGTTAGGAGCAAAATAAGATTTAGTTTAGGATTTTAAAACCCCACAAATTTTCTTTTTCCTTCTCTTCCTGTCTCACAAAATAGAAAAAGCTTACAATTCTAACATGTCCTGCTCGGTGGGGCTGGCAAAGAATTTAAATAAAAGCCCTGGAAGAAGTCTAGGAGAGGCTGGTGAGAAAATGCTGATGTAATTTCCAATGGGATTAATCCTTTGATACAGTTTCCCAGGATTTGTATTCCTGTCATCTAATGTATTTGAGGCAGGGTCTTCAGAACCGGAGTTTTCTGAAAGCTGGATTTCACCAGGTCTGTTCTTTAGGCTGATTCCCCAACAATTTAAAAACACCATGTAATTTTCAGTTTTCCACATTTATAAGGATGGCATTTTCTGAGTTACACACACAATTTTATGTACTGAGATCAGGGATGAATTCCTGAATAAAAGCTAGATCCTGATGCATTTTATACAGGTCAGTCATCACATTTCTTCTTCTCACCAATCCTTTAAAGTCTCTGCTCATGAATTTAAAGGGGGAGCCTACCTGCTCAGGTTAACCAACTTCATGTAGTTTTATCAAACAAGTCTCCACAGTAGGTTAGCCTTCCTATTCTCTGCTTCAGGTAAAAGTTAAATAGTATCCTCTGTGCAGATAAAAGTGAGATAAGATGGGAAATATAAAATAAATAAATAAAAACATCATAGGATTTAACTAGTTTAATCTCCTCTCACCCATATCTTTCCAATTG